ATAAAGTTAATTTTAATATTTAAAAGTATTTAACATTTTGATATAATGAGCATGATAATATAATGATAGAATTTACAAAAATGTAGAATTGAGAATTTTTAAATCTTTTTCTAATATTTATTTTTAAAAATATAATATTATTTTTAAAATTTAATATATTTTTTTTCAAATATATAAATATATAAAGATATAAATGTATAAGGATATAAATAAATATATAAATATATCAAAATATAAATATATAAAAATATAAATATATAAATATAAGTTTCTTGTAAAACTTTTCAAGTTATTTTAACTGATAAAAATAAGTTTTAATCGATTAAAAGGTTGTGCATAAATTGTTTTAATCGATTGAAATGAGATTTAATCGATTAAAAGTGTTATGATTGGTCATAATTGCATTCTGACCGATCATAATTGAAACCATATAATAGCGGTTCAAGGGTTAACCGCTATCTAAGTGAGCTTTTAAGAGCGGTTCCTGTGTAACCGCTATCTAAACTGTATCTCGCTTGAGCGACAACGTTCTCGCTCGAGCGAAACGCCCCCTGCACAAAATTAGTACTCTCGGGTTGTATTTCGCTTGAGCGAGTCTAGTCTCGCTCGAGCGATATTTGATTCTGATCAATTATATTTTCGAAATGATCGATCATATTTGATAATTTTTTCAAATAATTAATTATAATCGATTAGTTTTCTAAATTATTGATTAGAATTGATTAGTTTTTCAAATAATAGATTAGAATTGATTAATTTCTGAAATATATACTAAAAAATTATAATTAAAACTATAAATTAGTTAAGAATATTGACTATTGTAAAGATAAAGTAGAACATGGGAGGAGATGAGGATGATAATATAATCATAGAACTTACAAAAATGTAGAATTGAGAAGTTTGAATTACACTTTTAATAAATTTAAGATAATACTAGTTTTGATCTTTATTTTTAAATATTTATTTTAATTATTTAAAACAGAAACTATAATTTTACTTTCTAGTCATTTGAATTTAAAGAATTAAATTTATTATTATTTAATCTTTTAATTTTAGTATTAAATTTTTAAATTATATTTTTCTACTTTGAGAATGAACAATATAATTAAACTCAAAATTGACAATATTATAATACATCTTTGAACTCTTTTGGATTAATTTTTTTTCCTAATTTTTTATAAAGTTAATTTTAATATTTAAAAGTATTTAACATTTTGATATAATGAGCATGATAATATAATGATAGAATTTACAAAAATGTAGAATTGAGAATTTTTAAATCTTTTTCTAATATTTATTTTTAAAAATATAATATTATTTTTAAAATTTAATATATTTTTTTTAAATATATAAATATATAAAGATATAAATGTATAAGGATATAAATAAATATATAAATATATCAAAATATAAATATATAAAAATATAAATATATAAATATAAGTTTCTTGTAAAACTTTTCAAGTTATTTTAACTGATAAAAATAAGTTTTAATCGATTAAAAGGTTGTGCAGAAATTGTTTTAATCGATTGAAATGAGATTTAATCGATTAAAGAGTTCTGATCGGTCATAATTGCATTCTGATCGATCATAATTGAAACCATATAATAGCGGTTCAAGGGTTAACCGCTATCTAAGTGAGCTTTTAAGAGCGGTTCTCGTGTAACCGCTATCTAAATCAGTATCTCGCTTGAGCGAGAACGTTCTCGCTCGAGCGAAACGCCCCTTGCACAAAATTAGTACTCTCGGTTGTATTTCGCTTGAGCGAGTCCAGTCTCGCTCGAGCGATGTTGCAACCGCTATTAGAAGGAAATATAAACATATAAATATATAAATATATATAAATATGTAAAGATATAAACATATATCTTTAATATTTTGTAAATGTAAATATAATTTATATATATTTTTAAATCTTTTTCTTATATTTATTTTTAAAAATATAATATTATTTTTAAAATTTAATATTTTTTTTTCAAATATATAAATATATAAAGATATAAATGTATAAGGATATAAATAAATATATAAATATATAAATATATCAAAATATAAATATATAAATATATAAATATATAAATCTATTAATATATAAATATATCAATATATAAATATATAAATATATATATATATATATATATACAAATATATCAATATATCAATATTATCCCCTCATATATTAATATACATTATTAGCATAATTTTAATTTAATTAAAAATTAGAATACAAATATACTATACTATACTAATATACCATTATATTATTTTCATTGTATATAAATTACAAAATTAATAATTTGTATACTATACTATACTAATATATTATTTGTATACTATACTAATAGTATAATATACTATATTATAATATTATTTGTATAGAAAACTAATATCTTTATATATAAATATGAAAACATATAAATATATGTAAAAATATGAAGATATAAATATATAAAAATATAAATATATGTAAAAATATAAAGATATAAATATATAAATATATAAATATATCAATATTTAAATATATATTAAAATATATAAATATATTTTTATTTATAGATTTTATATTTATATATTTATACTGGATATACATTTATTTGTATATAAATATAATTTATTTGTAAGTTATTATTAAAAGATCCTAAGTAGCTCAGCTGGTTGGAGTTTCAGCCTCCAACTCTAAGGTACCGGTTCAATCTTGACAATGACAATAAACCACCTAATAATAAGTTAAACTTCTAAAAAATATAATATAATTAAGATATAGGGAAAATAAATAATAGATATAATAAAAATATAAATAATTAAAAATAGTGACCGATTCCAGTTGGTCACTATTTCGGTCACTATTTTAATTAGTAACCGATTTTGCACATTTAGTGACCGAATTTTCTGGTCACTATTTGGTGTTTTTCTTGTAGTGTTAGCATATAACAAAGATAATGTTATAATAATAATAATTTATAAAAATAATTTTTTATCTTCAAAGTAGTTTTATTTTATGTCTAACATCTTTTTTAAAATATATTTATATTTTTGTAACCATTTTTTTAATTAGTGATTTAATGCAAGTCTTTTGAAATTAACTCAAAATTAGATAAAAATAAAGAATTTAATTTTAATGTTTGACTAGTATAAATATTATTACTCTATTAATTAATAAAAATGTTTTAAATAAAATTATCAGCAAAAATATTCTTGAATTATTAGTAATTACCAAGATAATTATTTTATAAATAAAATGAATTTATTATCATATATAAACATTTAGAATGAGTTTATACATTAAGCTTATGATAAGTAAGTAATAAATGATTATCTTGACTACAGAATTCAATTTCTTTAAACAAAATTTCGAATTCAAATCTTATTACAAGTAAATAAAAAATTGCCATTAAAATAAATTAATAAAAATATTGAATATTTATTAATAATCTAGAAATGACGTGAGAAACATGAATTCTTTTTTTTTTCTCTCTCTTGCATTCCACATTAAGTCGTGGTGGGACATCAACACATCAGTTCACAAACTCTGACCAACGACCACACACTTCCAAACACTGTTTTCAAAAATCCAAATTCATTTCCTTGCTTTGACTTTTGTTCTTAAACTCCCCACTCCATGTTTATAATCCAAGACCACCATTATTTTCCACAAATATTTCTCATTAGATCATGTTTTGCAAGTTATTTTAAGAGAATCTTAGTGCAATTCAAGTCTCAAAAATCTTGTTCTAACCCATTTTTATATGGTTTTTTAATATCTTTTCATTATTCTCTCGTCGTAATTCAAAAGATTACGAGATCTTAATCTTAAGGAGTTGATTGAGTAAAAGTCTAATTTATTATTGAGGAAATTTGATGAAAATATTTTTATAATATAACAATTGAGTAAAATATATTCTAGATCTTTAAACTTTTGGCTTAATTTCTTCACTTTTAATAAAATTATTCAATTCTTGTAAATGTGACTATGTTTGACATTAGTTTTTTAAAAAGCTTTGTTTTTATATTTTTTTCATATTATATTAATCTTTATATTAACTATAATTAGTTTTAGACTAAAAGTCTAAATTTAAATTAAGATAAGAACAAACATTTTAAATTAAGTTAACTGGATTAATTTTAGTGAATAATTAAATTAAGTAATGTAGTAATGTTTAATACATCATAATATACATGTAATAATTTCATATATTATTTTGAATTTTCTATTCAATAATTTTACTTTCAATATTGTTCATTTATAAAAAAAAATTATAATACATTAAGATACTAGTAATAAATTTTCTAAACGTTACTCTTTATATCATAATTTTAAATTATTCTAATAATTTTTTTAATATATCATAAGTAAAAAATAATTAAATCTCCAAAAATTCAAAAAGAATATTATAATACGTGTATATATTTTAAAAATGATTATTAATATATATATATATATATATATATATATATATATATATATATATATATATAAAGAAGTAATCATGACTATTTTTTTCTACCTTAACACAAATTTTTTCATAATATATTAAATATATTTAGTTACTAGCTTTTCTTTATTATTTGTTGTATCACGGAGAGTCTGCCAAACATTATTTTCCACTGTAACATGTTCCATACGGTAAAGTATAAAATATGTGACATGGGTCACACACCATACAAGCAATAGAAGAACATGCCAATGAAGCAGGAAACCGAGAGGAAAATACCCTGCAAGAGGAACACCAGCTATTATATATTCTCATTTAAAATTGATTTTCGATATGTGTACCTTAAATTGATGAGTTTAATTAACTATGATATGCTAATGAAACCGCGTTTTTGGTGTTTCACACTTGTTCTTGACAGAGTCACACCAACACAAGCCTAAATTGCTGCCCTCTTCCTCTTTCCTTGTTCTCTTCTCTCTCACTCTTTTTGCCTTGAAAGCTCCCTTTCTTTTTGTAATTTTTATTTCCCTTACTTAGTATTTGATTATTTGATTCTCTTCTTTTGTATGCCCAGATATTGTTGTAAAGTTTTGCTCTTTTTCTGGGTTTTGAAGTTTGTCACTTCCACACTGAAATTCCACAAGGTGTTTGATGTTGGTATCATCATCATAGGACTCATAACTATGGTTTTGTGGGTTTCTCTCATTTTGGTTCTCCTTGTGTTACACAACTCCTGCACTGTGGAATCCATATTTGAGCATCATAGTCACAATGATCTGAATGAATCTTCTCTTGCGGCAGTCAAGTTTCCTGATCATGCAAACTTCAATGCTGGTGTTTTATCCACAGAAACTGGGTGTAGTTTCTCCAAGTCAGAGAAATTTGAGTCTTCTGTAACGGCCATGACATCCAATGAAGGCATTGAAGGTGAAGAGGGAGGAACTTTTGTTGTAGCAGAACAGCATACGCAATCTGTGAAACTCAATTTGAGACACCACTCAGTAAGCAAAGATGCTGAGCCTAAAAAGTCTGTAGTTGATTCTACAGTGAGGGACTTGAAGAGAATTCAGACCCTTCACAGAAGGGTCATGGAGAAGAAGAACCAAAACACAATTTCAAGACTTCAGAAAGCACAAGAGCAATCGAAGAACCCCTATAAGCCTTCTGCAGATGCTCCGACAGCCCCCCCGGAGTATTTCTCTGGTCAGCTTGTGGCAACCTTGGAGTCAGGGGTCAGTCTTGGCTCTGGTGAGTACTTCATGGATGTATTTGTTGGCACGCCTCCTAAGCATTTTTCTCTGATACTTGATACTGGTAGTGATCTTAATTGGATTCAATGTGTTCCTTGTTATGCTTGTTTTGAGCAAAATGGACCATATTATGATCCTAAGGATTCTAGTTCTTTTAAGAATATAACTTGTCATGATCCAAGGTGCCAATTGGTGTCATCCCCAGACCCTCCTCAGCCCTGCAAGGCTGAGACTCAAAGCTGTCCATACTTCTATTGGTACGGAGATAGTTCCAACACAACTGGGGATTTTGCACTTGAAACTTTCACTGTGAATCTCACCACACCTAAGGGAAAGCCTGAACTCAAGCTTGTAGAGAATGTTATGTTTGGTTGTGGCCATTGGAATAGAGGACTTTTCCATGGGGCTGCTGGATTGCTAGGCTTGGGGAGAGGGCCATTGTCATTTGCTACTCAGCTCCAATCTCTTTATGGTCAATCCTTTTCTTATTGCCTTGTGGATAGGAACAGCAATTCAAGTGTTAGTAGCAAGTTGATATTTGGTGATAACACGGACCTTCTCAGCCACCCCAATTTGAATTTCACTTCTTTTGTTGGTGGCAAAGAGAATCCTGTTGACACCTTTTACTATGTCCAGATAAAGTCTATCATGGTTGGTGGTGAGGTGCTGAAGATTCCGGAGGAGACTTGGCATTTGTCAGCACAAGGAGGTGGGGGTACAATCATTGATTCTGGCACCACTTTGACTTACTTTGCTGAACCTGCTTATGATACTATCAAGGGGGCATTCATGAGGAAAATCAAGGGCTATCCACTTGTTGACACCTTTCCCCCTCTAAAGCCATGCTATAATGTGTCTGGAGTTGAGAAAATTGAGCTGCCAGAATTTGCAATCTTGTTTGCTGATGGAGCTGTCTGGGATTTCCCTGTGGAGAATTACTTCATCCAGATTGAGCCTGAAGGTGTTGTTTGCTTGGCTATTTTGGGGACTCCTAGGTCTGCACTTTCAATTATTGGGAACTATCAGCAGCAGAATTTCCACATTTTGTATGACATGAAGAAATCAAGACTTGGATATGCACCAATGAACTGTGCTGATGTGTGACATCATGTTAGGGGTGAAAAAAGGTGTATAGGATAAAAACTATGAACATGATAATTCTTGGGGTTGATTTTTACTTTTAGGGGTGTTTCCCATTTACACTAAAAAGTGATACACACAGAAGACAGAAAAGAAAATCAGGTTTTGTTTCTTCAGGTGGTATACAATTAGTCCTAGGTAATTACAGGAACAAGGACATTACAAACACAAACGTTTCATTGTTTTGTACACATTTAACTGCTTCAATTTTGAGTTCCTTGTCACTTTCAGTTCAATATGATATTGTATCTCTAACTCGCATGCTTGGTTTTCTCTTTGTTTACACATTCTCTAAAGGAAAATTGCTCCTTAATTTTGTTTACAAGAAACATGGTCTCACAACTTTCATTAACAGGCAATAGCAACAAGTTCTATGTATGTCTATATTCTCTATAACAAGCAGTGATTTTCTGCAATATTTGCTAGTATTTACACTTTTTTTCTCAATAATCTCTGTTTTAAAAAATCTCTCCTTTTTTTCTCGAGTAACTAGTCAAAGGGAACATGGTTGTTTCCAATATCAGCCAGCAGTATAATATATTATTCAATGGCTCATAAGTTAGGTACGTGGCACAATTTTTTAACAAAAACAAAGAAAATGAGCATGCAAACAAAGACTTGGTCAGCTTTATTGGTAGGTATCTCTTTATCATACATTTTGCGATCTTCCCTTATTTATTGTCTTTGGGAATTTCAGGGTACCCTAAAACAATAACACATGCTAAAAGTAAACATGAATGTATTTCAAACACCAAAAAATATTCAAATTTATGAAAAAGATATAGTAGGTAGGTGGGTTAGAGTCCTTTGCTCTTCTAATTAAAAATTTTCTCCCTCACACCAACGACTGGTATTATTTGTTTTCATACAAAACTCATTTGTATTGGGTGGTGATAATGAGGTGTGAAATGTGATTGTTGAGGAGTGCCCTAAAAAATTGTGAGTGCATTCAATTGGTCGTGTATTACATGGAGAATAATCTTGTTTGACTGGGAAGCATAATTTGCTCCGCCAAGCAACACCATTAGAAGCATATGTAAGCAAATAGTGTAAGCAAATAGTATTTTTCAACTCCTTGGACACGTTTAGCAATGAGTTGAGTGAGTCATCAGCCAAATCAAGTAGGTGAACTAAATTTAATGTAAAATATGAATCTTAGTTAACATACCCTTTCATGGTGGGAAGCACGTGAATTCGGAACTCTCACCAACAACACATCACATGCATCAAAGAATGCACCATTATTGGGGATGAGAAAGGGTCTCTATGGAGACACATTAATTTTGTAAATGAAAAAAATCATTATTTGTTTTATTAGTTACTAGATATATATCAATTTAAAATTATTACTATTATAATATTCATGAATACTCAAAACAATGTAGTTTCTAATAATTTTTTAAATATAAACTCAACTAAAATCACAATTTCAAAATCTGAATTCTAATTAAATTTCACTCTAAAATATTAGGTTAAAAAAATTGGTCTCTCTAACTTTTAGTGTAATTGAACTCAAATAAGATTACAATCTCAAAATTTAAATTCTAATAAAATTTCACCCTAAAATATTAGTTTAATAAAAGTTGGTCTCTCTAAACTTTGAGTACAAGAAAATTGTATTTTAAAGTATAAATTCCAATAAAAATAGTCTCTCTAAAATAACTTCAATTAAAAATTAAAATAAAACATATTAAATTAATAAAATAAAATGCTAATACAATTATTTAATTGTAACTTAACCCCTAATTTTCCAAACAAAAACATCCCAATAAATATAACTAAGTGGTACTATTGTTAAAATTGAAATAAAATTTTCAATATATATATATATATAATATTAATATGTATCTTAGATATATATTACGTTCACCGTGAACGATCAATTCTCATGTTCGAGGTATTATCTACTTTAAAGTTCTCGTCCATTATGATTTTGTCCTTAAAAGGTATCTTGGTGGGTTGAGAGAGGAGGATATATTTGAACTAATCCTTAGCATTGACTCATAAGCGATGTGGAACTCATGGGCGTATCGAAACATAAGTCTCAATTAAGGACTAAGGAGTATATATGAGTAAAACGAAAATCGACTCTCGGCCCCATGATGGACGTCAATGTCCCATCTAGGAACAAGTATGTCTCGACTTCATGTACTATGATAACATTATTAAGGTTAATTTTCATGTCTAAGATATTGTCTACTTTAAAAATATTCTCTATCACAATATTATTTTTAATGATGCTCTCATTGAAACTTCATTAACAAATAGGGTTTTCAAGTTGGTATACAAATAGTACATATCGACGATATCTATTTTTCTTTTTTCGGTTTAAATAAAATTGAGCAGAAGTAAATATTTATCAAAGAAAAATAATTTAGAGATATTTAAACGAAAATTTAGAAATATTATAAATTTGTTGGTTGCAAGAAGAAAAATTCTTAAAAATCATTTTAATGATGACTTTTTTTTCTTCTATTTAAAATTTGATCTATTACTACGTATTATAATATTTAATATTTTTTTCTTTTATTTAGAATTCATTTAATTATTATGTTTTGATGTTGTCTATTTTAAAATTTTAATCGATAATAATTTTATTTTAAAAGATTAAAAATCATTATAATTATAAATTATTTTTAAGTTTTATATATATATATATATTTTTTTTTCTTTTTTTTTTCAAACCTTTTTAAATTCTTGTTCTATAATTATACCCAGTATTTGAAAAAACAAAACAAAAATTTTATGATATTTTTCGTGATCTTGACCCTCGTACAAAATTCTTCAATTTGCTCCGTCAACTCATGAGTGTTACATCATACTACATAATACAACAAATGGTTGGTGGAAAGCCCAATTCTATTTAACAACTACGGAGAGAAAGAGATATAAAAGAACAATAATATAAATATAACAGTTAAATAATACTACTACATAATCATAATAAATTAAATATTAATAAATCATTATTGTACATAATAATAGTACATTAGGAAATTCCATGCATATAGAATTGACATTTTCTTTATTTTTATTATCTTCTAAATTCTGACCGTGACAACGTTGTGTGGTATTTTTGCCTAACTATATAGTAAAAGTAACAAAATAACTTTTCATGTTTAATATTTTATTCTTAATTCATCCATAATTATAAAATTAAGTTTTATTGAAATTAATTTTTATGAGTAATTATTAGTTTTGAAACTCTCGTCCATTACCATTACCCTTGACATCGAATTTTTAAGTGACGTGAAATTCCGGAATAATATTTATAATTATAAAATTGTATTTGTAATTAATGAAAAGATGCAAAAATGTCTAATTTTGAATTTATATTAAATTTATGTAAGAATTTTCATAATAATAAGTTTATTTTACACGTCTAATCACTTGTTAGAAAAAATGGCTTGATGCTTTTATGCATTGTAATCCTTCTATAAATAATGGTAGAAACATTTATCTGTTATTACTATTTGTAACTAGAGATGTTTTATTACTTAATTCTTCTATCATATATTTAAAGAATGTTGTTATACCTAAGACAACAATCATTTTTTTATTTAACTGTTGAACCTTTCTTTTCTTCTTAAACAATGTTGCATGTAATTTTCAAAATGATTTAACTTATGTGATATCACGTCATTTATTACTAAGATGTAAACTTTAAATAAGTATAAAAATGTTAAGTATTATATAAATTGTATTATATTTGGTTAGAATTTTTATAGTTATATAAAATATTCTAATCTCTTTGTTGTGAACCATCTTTACTAAGTTTAAGTATGATATCTAATATCAGTTGATAAAAATGTGTATTGTAAAAAACAAAAATAAAAATATTCATGAAAAGTTACAACTGCTTGCAGAATCAGAAGATTATGAAAAATTATAAATAAAATTAAAAAATTAAAAAGTTAAAAAGATGATTATTGATATCTATGACTTTAATTATGAAGCATTAGATGTACTTGTTTATTATTGGAGTGTTCTCTAAAAAGTATTTATATGAGAGCTATTAGATGTAAATGTTTGTATTAAAAAAAATGTCTTCTTCCTAAACAACCTGCAGAAAAGTATATAGAGGAAACTACAAATAATTATTATAAGTATTTTATTTTAATACTACAAATTATATGACATTTAATTATAAACGTCAGTAAAAAATTAAACGTTTTAACACACACACTATATATATATATATATATATATATATATATATATATATATATATATATATATATATATCAAATGGAAACCAGACCCTAATCATTAAGGAGTGATATTTAAATCTTATCTATAATTTAAATCTTCATCTAGTGGTTTATTATTTAAATTTTAATATTTTTTTATTAAAAAACAACTATTTTATCATATTTAATAATATTTTGGCCTAATACTTTTGTTCTTAAGGACATTTAAATCTTATCTATAAAAAAAAAAGAGTTATAATAAATTTTAATTCTGAATATATAACTTTTAGGAAAAAAATAAACAAAAATTTAGTTGTGATATTATACTTTAATCATGTCTTTTTTTTTAATGATATTTCTAGTTTTTATGATGATGTATATGAATTTGCAAAGTGTTGTAGAATTTTATTTTGATTTAATTTAAATAAAAATTTAATAATATATTATGACGTCTGAAGTTCATATAAAATCCAAACTTAAGATATACGTTCTATTTGATTTGTTATGTTTATTGATAATTGCATAAGAATTACTTGATTATGTTTAATAAAATTTAAAAGTGAGGTAAATTCATTTTTTCAATAATTTCATAAAATAAAAAGAGTTGAAAATGTTATACATATAAAAGTTATAGATAATATCATTCTCCTACTCATCATATATATATATATATATATAAAATAAAGATATGTGATTTATTATAAAGACACGTTTTTTGTCTCTATATTTAAACTTTAAGAATATATTTTGAACTTTAAGAAAGAAACCAATAAA